GTTAAAAGGTTGGGTAGAAGTTTAGGTGCATCTTGAGCCGTCTGCATAGCCCTATATAACTTTGTACATTTTTCATGTTGTATTCCTGAGACAGAAGGTTGTAAAAAAAGCATGGAAATACATGGAATTGTCACTAGGTTTCATAGGTGCATGTATTTAGTCTTTAAAGTAAGGGGTAGAATTGCTCACACCCCCTGAATTGTTGAGCATGACTCCACATTTGGATTCTGAGTTCACAAAATGTGTACTTCTGCCTCTTGGACCATGTAAGCACAGTGTTGACAGGCACTTCCAAGTACCAGCTGACTCAAATGTGCTCCCTCCCAAGACGTTGCTGAGCCACGTCACCGCTGTGCCTAGACGTGCCTTGTACTAGCTCTGCAGGTGACATTTTAAATGAAAGTTGAAACCAGTCTTCTGGTGATCTGTTTTTAATGACCAAGTGATACTTGCCTAAATATACATTTTATTATCTTTGATTTATTAAGGGAACAGCCGAACAGTTTGGGTAATTCTCTAGCTTTACTGAATACCTCCCGAGTTTTTATTTGATATGCATTATTCACTTTATCTTACACATGCTACTGCATGTAACAGATGTATTGCATCAAATAAAATATACCACATCCAGATTTTTAACACAAGTCTTTTTTTGGTTTACAGGGTTTTCAGTGAATGCCTCATCAGAGCGGCTCAATATGGGAGAAATAGAGACTTTGGAAGACTACTGAGCATGTGCAAATCAACTGGCTTTTCCTGCATCTGTTAACCATGGATTCTCCATTTTGGACACAGTACTCTCCACCATGCGTTCTTCTTCGCCTCGCAGTAAATCACAGATTCAATCATCTCAGGCTGCTTCCTCTAGCCCCAGCAAACCCTTTCTGCCCAGGACCACACAGGCATTGTTCCTACCATCAGCCTAGAGTCGAGTGGACTTTGTTCAGAGTCCTGGGAGGGTGGGAGATTAGGATTCGTTCACAACAAGGCTGATTTGGGCAGCAAGCTTTCACTGTGCTGTGATTTCTTCTGCTGACATACCTGGGAAAAAAAAAAAATCAATTGGGATTCTGCAAACCATTGCTTCCCTTTCCTGGTTACTCTTACCACATCCAACACGTGCAGTCATGGAGAGAGAGAGAGAGAGAGAGTTTGTGGTTAACAGATGTTGGTCAAAACCAAAATGCCACACAGATACTGACTTCCGCGCTCCATCAGGGCAAGAGGTGCTCTCCCAAGCCAGGAGTTGCATTCATAAGCTAACCTTAGAACTGGCAACAGCAGGAGAGGGGCGGTGGCGGGCGCAGTTTAGCTTGGGTTGGTTTGAAGTTGCACACCCCCTGCCAGCCCTTCTCAGCACATTATTTTTGGAGGGAAAGCTCGAGTCTGTCTTCATTAGGTGGTGATACTGAAGCTGGTGGAGTTCCCCATTGGCATGCTCCAGCCTTCCTGGACAAGTGGGGGCTTCTACTCTGGGAAAAAAGGGGGGTGGCATCTCTTCTTTCAGGTTGAATTTATCCCTTAAATGCTACCTTCGGAGGGTTAGGACCAGTTTATTTTGAGCTCTTTTCCTGCAAATTTGTCTCGTTTAAGAGACAGTAGGATCTTTACTGTGTGGATCTTTAGTCTTTGGTGAGGGTGAACACTGGCTTTCAGATATATATCCCGGCAGTCGTAGCTAGTTGTCATTTCAAGCAGTGCTTAGGTTAATGAGCAGAGATGCCCTTTTGTCATAAAGAGAGACTGTGGAGGGCGAAGCTATGTGCAATGATGGCCCTGCTTATATCTTCTACACCTTAAACTACTTCACACACCTTCACTGGGATCCATAATGTTTAAGTATTTATGGAATCATAACCTTCCTCTTTCACCAAAAGATTAACACCACCTTCCCTTCTCCACCCACCCACATGCACACACCACAAAAGAAAGAAAAGGAAAACTGCCAAATGCACTTAGTTTCAATCCCCGGTCCCATCTCCCATTCCCAGAGGGTTATAACCTGCCAAGGGAGATGCGCTACAGTTTTGGTGGAGTTGTATAAAGGTGTCTGTCTTTCTGTCATCACTGCCTAAAGAAAACAGTTCGAGTTGCTGAAGAGCAGTTTGGCTTTGGATTTTATTTTGTTTGGTTTATTCATTTTTTGGGGTCACCTTCCCCTCCTCCTCCTCTCTCTTCCCCCTGCCCCCAAACATGTACAGTAACTATACAGAGACTGCTGCAGACTTGTATATAGTTTTTGGATCCAATAGCATGGAGAGACTTGGAACTGTTGCAAATCTGGTCTCCCTGTCTCCTTTGCTTTGTAAATTCATAAAAGGGGGAAGAGGGGTAGTTAAAATGTTTACAAAACTTTAAACTCCCTCTGAACTTTTGCCAGTGTGGGGGGGGGGGAAAGAGAGAACTTAAATAAAACCTGGTTGTATTATATCTGAGAGAAAACTTTCTGCTTGCTTTTGTCGAAGCTGAGTTTTGAGATAATTCGTGGTGCTAAAACTGACCCAAAACCCGACTCTCATCAGTTTTCATCAAGAAACAACAAGCAAAATACACAGGATGTGGAACAACAACTGCTGCTTTATTTCTTCCCTGGTGAGGAATACTGGTGGGTTTTTTCTACTTGATAATTTTAGAGTTCAAATAAACACCAGTAAGTTGAGATTGGAAAACTCTGACAAGAAAGCTTTAATTTTCCCCCCCTCTCTGCACCGAAACACGTGCATTCATGCTCATGTTGTTTATGCAGGAGAGATCAAGCCATGGCTGGTTTTCTGTTACTACAAACGCTCGGCTGTGGAGCCTTTTTTTGCCAGTTGGTAACCACCCCACCCACTCCAGTTCCCTTCTCTAAATGAGAGGTTTTATTTTTCCCCTCAGCGTGAAGTCCACACGGACACCTTGTAGGCTTCCCTTTTTAGAAAAAAAAAAAAAAAAAAATCTTACTTTTTTCTACTTGCTGCTTGGTTTTGTGTGGAAAATCCCAGTAAAAGTTGATGATAAATGTCCTTCTACCATTCACATGATCACAAAGAATATGAAGTCAGTAAAGAACTAACTTCTACAGTAGCTTTGCATTATGTTTTGCTGATGTCTTGGAGAGAACAGTACATGTTCAGGCTGATAATTTGACTGTTTTAATATCTTTTTTTAGTGTGTAAGGTGTCTGGTTCATAAGTACTTTCTATGTTTTAATGGTATGATCTAATTTCTACAAGCTAATTTTGGACTACTCTATATACTGTGTAACAAATAAGCACAAGCCTGTTAATTTCCAGCTCAGCTGGGGAGCAGGAAAGGAACAATTTGCCGATTGCTAAATGAAAATGCAGAAATGCAAGCAGGGAAAATGTGCAATAACTTGTCGAATGCTGAGGACCTTGCTCAGCTTCTGAGAATTTGGAGATAATGGACCAGTGGGGAAGATCTTGCTCTTAATATTTTAATATTTTGGCTTCTGTATTTAGTACAAAGGTAAGATGCTGGCATGTTCAGATTGTACGCTCAGTTGACTGCCATGTCACCTTCTGTGACAAACAGGGCCTGTTTCTGTAGTGAAGGTCACTTGGATCAGTAGGGACGGCAAAATAGGAGCTACAGCTTTATGTTTGCTGGTGGATATATATTTATGCACTTCCAGCTCCTTTTCACACTGAACATGAACCTGGAAAGCTAATGAGGCTTTGATCCAAGTTTGACAGATGATGTTGAATTTGATGCTAGAGATGACTGAGGTTTCTTTTGAGCACATTCCACCAGGTTACTTCCCAACTTCTGATTTCACTGCAGGGACAGTGCTCAGTCCTCTTTGTTTTTCCTGCTTCCCCTTGCAGCCAGGCACTTCTGCAAAGAACTGCAGCAAGTGGAAGGATTTAAAAGGACACCTGAACTGTATCTGGCTGCCTGTCAGAAAGCCAAAAAGCAAAGAGATCTCTTAGCAGAAAAATCTGAATCTGAAATTTAAGACAAAACTACTTGTGTCATATTTTCAGAGCATAAAGAACTGACATTGGGGGCGTTTATGTACTTTATTACATCTTTTTTCTGAACGGAAACCGTGAAGTATTTCATCCTCATATCAACTTAAAAAAATCCTAATGAAATTGTTCTGTCCTCTGACAATAAGCTGGAGTGTTCCCCTTTTTATACATTATTGCTATATTGCCCAAGTCTCTATTGGTACAAATGTGATTTGGAACAAACCTCAGTTTTCTCTGCTGTGAACTTTTCACGAGCCCACTTGGAGGGGAGGGACAGAGTGGTAGAGGGTTGCAGGAGGAGGTAGTGTCTGTGCAGTTCAGATCTGAAGAGGATGCTGGCCTTGCCTGACAAAGGTGACTCCTTGAAGACCTACCAGATTTTAACAGGCAGTTCTGCCAGTGGAGACCACACATGGCTCCTAGTCCACATCTGTAAGTATTACACCCAGAAAACAAGGATGCCGCGGAGCCACTCTGGCTCTGTTTCATAGCATTTTAGCCTCAAAAGATTGAGGCCCTTGTTCTATTGCTGCGCCCACCCTGGAAAGACCACCGCAGCCCTGCATGCTGAGGAGAGAGCAAAGCCCTCGAGCAGTCTGCTTGGTTTCGGGGTTAGCCACCCCCCAATGGCTCCTGTGTTATTTCCCGTGCCATGGGATGGCCAGCCAGAGGGAAGGCATTCCAGGAGCATCCCCGTGTCCTCTGGGAAGGGCTCACCAACAACTGCTCGTGTGTGCACTGGCCTGGCAGGGTGATGGATGCCTAACGGCTCGGCTGCCTATGGGGTTTTAGGCACAACTTGTAGAGGGTGGAGCTGTCTTCAGGAGGAGGTGTGCTCTAAAAGCTAGAGAGGGTGAGTCTCTGCTGGGTTTTGCACTCTCTCTGTCCACTTGCTGTTGTGAAGGAATTTTTTTTTTTTAACCTGACTGGACAAAGTTTTTATTATACCAGTGAAATTTCCAAGTTGTTTTGTACTTTGAAGAGTTTTAAGAATTTCTGCCGACACTTTTCCTGAGGGAAGCCATGCCCTACCACAGAGTCCTTCGCCTGGTCCTGCTAATGCTGTGCGGCATCCTGGTCCCTGCTGTGCTGACAGGTAAGGAGCTTTGTTTGCATTTAAAGCCCAAAAGCGTGGGACATCTTTTACTAACTTGCCTCTCTCTCCTTGCATACCTCGTCTCCCTCCCCTAAAAATGTCCATAAGTATTTATTGAATTATAATTGATTAATGGAAACTAGCTTTGGAATCGGTGGCTGGTGGTGAGTAAGAATATGTTCTCCATTCTGATACCGTGTTACTGTTGGGGAAAACGGAGAAAATCTTTCGTCATTTCTCCTAAGCTGAACAGCAGTAGCGCCTCCATGAGCATTAGTGACAGTAGATCAGTAGGCAGATCAGCCAACAGTAGATGGGGTGCTCTCAGCAGCTGATGAGACAGGCTATCTGTCAGCTTTTAATGGTAGGAAGAGGTTACAATTGTGAAAAGAAACATTTTTCCCTGGCTAAAGCATGCGTGCTGATTTCTGCTTCCTTCTATACTTTCTTCTACAGCAGAGCACTTCACCACAGCTGCTGTAAGTAGAAATATGAAAGTGTCTATGAAAATGTTTAGCTCAGTCAAAAGCTGAGGTGTGCATCTAAACTGAGTTTCTCTCTGGAGCTGGGTATACCAAGGTAGGCGGCAGTGCTGGGCAGGTATGTGGCTGCGACTCAAGTTCAGCGAGGTGATGGGAAAAGTTAGTGAGACACTTACTCTGTGAAGTCCTATTTTTTTAAGGAAGTGGTTAGTAATTTCAGCCTTATCTGCTCCCGCTTTCAGCAGAGCTATGCGGGCTGAGGGGAACCAAGGGCACAGTGAGCCTCAAAGGCTGCCTGGTCTGAGATAGGTTTTACAAATGAGGGAAACCTGGCTTCCAGACCAACTCCATAGATGGGCTCTGAGCGTATCTTAGGGGTGGAAACTCCTATGGGGAACTACTTCCTTCAAAGCCTCTCTTTAAGTGCAGGTGAGGCTGTGAAAGGATGGCTCAGGCCAAGATAACAGGCAAGAGCACAGTGCTTGTTTACCTAAATTCTCGTCCTGCCTTCCAAGACCTGGAGCAAGGCTGGATCGCAGTTCACTCCCAGTTTGTTCTGAGCATATTGCCTAGCAGGGAGATCCTGGCCAGCCTTCTAGCAGATTAAATTATTTCTTTTTAAAGGAGCTTTCATAAGGATAAGGATTTCATAAAGGAGCTTTCATAAGGATTTGATCGCTGTGTCTAGCTGGAACATCTGCAGGTGCAAGAACAGAATTACTGTAGCCCACAGATCCTCCCCTTGTAGGACACCTTGCTGGGAAACCTTTAAAGTAACTAAGAAATGAGCACTAAAAGGTGGATGTTTTCCTTCTCAAACCCTGAGCCTGTATAGTGGAACATTAACCACTTAAGCACAGTTTCAGTTTGTAGCTTGCTCATGTTCCCAGAAGCAGTGGTGGTGCTCTTCCCCCAAACCAGGTAAGGTCTTTTCTTAACTGTTACAGTTTGTTTCACTCTGCAAAAGCTGATGGACTTCCAGTGAAACTTTGATCTGTTTCCTTCTCTGAGTTAGGATTTCTTTTACGCTATTTTAAGTTTCCAATATTCAGTGCATATTTGCTCTGTCTCCTGCCTTGCCAGTTTTCCTGTGTACTTACTCTTGGCTCAGCTTTGCAGCAATGGTTTGTACCAAACTGTCACTGCCTGCCTGTGTCACTTTGCTCCCATGAAATACCCCAAGTTTATTTGATTCCTTTACTGGGTGAGTCACACTCATGCAGCAAGGTCAGTAGCTCTTGAAGATGGTGTATTGATGTACATCAGATGTACTGATGAATGCAATATTCAGATCCTGGGGCATAGGAGAGACTCCGTGCTTTCTCTTCTCTGCTACCTCAGAGCCAGGCATCAGGGAACCAGCCTGTATGGTTAGCCATCCCAGTAGCAGAACGATTTTCTGCCACATTAGGAGTAGAGGTATCTTGCCCCAATACAGGGGCTTTTAGTGCACAGTGGAATTTTTTCTGGTTTTCACCCCATTAGAAAAGGAAATTTCCTGCCTTGTGCAGACAAAGAAGGGAAGGGCACACAGACAGCCCTCTGGTTTCTGTGCATATGCATGCAGTCCTGCCTTTCTGTAAACAAGTTTATTTAACATTCATCAGAACCGCAACGCTCCTCACTGCTCCACACTCGAGCTCCCGGCACTCGCACATCACAGGCTGCCCTTTGTGCTCCCTATGAAGGCCTCTTTTCATCCTTGCCCTGGCCCTGTGCCCGCTGCGGCTACCTGGGGCTGGACAGCCCATTGCTGGCCTCAGAGTTCACCCAGCCCCTGCCCTCCCATCTCAGCACCTCATACTTTCCATAGCAAAGCCCTCCACGGTGAGCAGAAGGGGAGTCTGCCTCGGACAGGGCTGCAGGTGATGCCGGCCATGCAGACCTGAGGTCCAGAATGAGTCTTCCCTTCCCCATTGGATTTAGAATCATAGAATGTTTTGGGTTGGAAGGGACCTTTAGAGATCATCCAGCCCAACCCCCCTGCAGTGAGCAGGGACAGCTTTAACCAGATCAGGTTGCTCAGAGCCCCATCCAACCTGACCTTGAATGTTGCCAGGGATGGGGCCTCTACCACCTCTGGGCAACCTGTTCCAGCGCTTCACCACCCTCATTGTAAAAAATTTCTTCCTTATGTCTAGTCTAAATCTGTTCTTCTTCAGTTTAAATCCATTAGTCCTTGTCCTGTCACAACAGGCCTTGCTAAAAGGATTGTCCCCATCCTTCCTATAGGCCCTCTTAAGTACTGAAAGGCCTCAATAAAGTTTCCTCGCAGCCTTCTCTTCTCCAGGCTGAACAACCCCAACTCTCAGCCTGTCCTCATAGGAGAGGTGCTCCAGCCCTCGGATCATTTTTGTGTCCCTCCTATGGACCCACTCCAACAGGTCCATGTCCTTCTTGTGCTGAGGGCTCCAGAGCTGGACGCAGTGCTCCAGGTGGGGTCTCACCAGAGCAGAGTAGAGGGGCAGAATCAGCAGAGTAGAGGGGCAAATTTAAGAAAGATTTAATTTTATCTCAGTGGTGATTCAGAGCTACCTAGTACCAGAACCCTCGGATAAGTGCTCAGGAGTTCAGTGAGATGTGATGGATCTTGCTGGCAGTTGAGGTTCCCATCTGGGTGTAGCAGTCAGCATTTTTGGGGTGCCAGTGGGTCGTGTACCTTGATCTGGCTTCTTGCCCAGCCAGTCTGGTTTTCTGGACGGTGTGGTCAGGGCTCTGTGACTGGAGAAAGTGTGAATTTCTCCTCCAAGGTACTGAGCTCTTTCCAATATTCCATTTGTCAGAAATGGGGAAACAACCGAGCCTTTAACCCTCTTTGTCCACATCATCTTGGTGCAACAGGAAACAGAGCCGGTTCAAGGACTTTCTGCACACCAAAATCCTCTCTTCTTCCGCTTTCTCCAAACCCAAGTGGCACTTAGGCCTAGAGCACAGGAGGATTGTGAAGAGCTGATTTTTATTTTTTTCCTATCAGCAAAACCAGTTTCAATTCATATAATGGATTCAGAGCTTCAGGTGAAGTGGAAGTTTGTAAAATGCCTTTGCGAGGCCTTGGCTTCTGAGTCCTGTATATATTTGTTATCTAAACTCTGATACAGGCTCATGAATTTCCTTGTTTTGAGCTAATGTAGAAATACATTGTACGGCAGTTGCACATCAGAATGTGTATAGGGGAAAAAAGCAGCAGAGCAGGAGATGTTGTGCTAAAGGAAGACGTACAGGAGAAGACCTTGTCCAAGGACATCTTTCTGTAGCAACTCATGTATCTTCATTCTCAACAACAGGAGGATGAAAGATTATTAGGAAGTTTTTAAAGTTCAAGTACTAGAACGTGAGAAGTAGTAAATAGGTTTTGTCAGGCAAATTTCTTAAAAAGATGCGGTTGTTCCAACAGGTCTGTCCAGACTTACAGCAAGTCTTTGTAGACCATTACTCAACCTTGCTCTGCACCAACATTCCTTATAAATTACTGACGCTGCTATCAGCTCCCAACTAAGGTTACTGGGTTGGAGGTGGAGAGTGTGCTCCAGAAAGCAGCAGGTAACCTTAACCTTGCCCCCTCCTTGTAATGGATGTAATGCGAAGACACAAAAACCTGTGGAATAAAAGGAATAAAAGCCCCCAGGTTCTGAAAAGGATGTGAGCAGCGGAGTTGGATGCCATTAAGTTGACCTGTGAACTGTTGTGACTGAAGAAACTGTGTGCAGTGCTTAGGTTACAGTGGGTACCCTTGCCTCGTTCCCAGGAACACTGAGCATCGGTGTCCTATTGAGGCACTCATTTCTGTCACTGTAAGCATAAACTTATAACCCAATGGAGGAGGAGATTGTCATCTCCTACTGACAGGCTGTGAGGATGATGAGATGCTGAAACCATCTTGTGTGAGGAAGAGTATTGGTCACTGGTGGCTGATCTTCAGGGATGAAGATGTTAAGTGGCCACATCTGCCTGCCTTTGAGGTCTTGCAGAGTCTGCTTCTGGGGAGGTTCTGGTTGTTTGGGGGTGTCTTGAAGGATCCTTCAGATTTGATCAGCTTCCTCAAGAGCTATCACTTGTGGAGACCTTTCCAGTCTTTCAGCCACTGAGTAGCTGAGGTATGGGTTGCCGTGTCACTGTGCTGGCAGCTCACCAGCTCCTTCTCACCGAGCATGGAAATAGTGGTTTCATCAAATTGCCTTTGGTGTCGTCCCTTCTAGATCTTGCTGAAGTCTGGTGGGTCCCTGCATCATTCAGAAAACTCACAGTGTATTTCTTTATAGTGTAGTAACTCTGATATTTTCTTCCCTTTTCCTGACTTCAGTTGTAACTAACCTGTGCTGGAGAGAAGGGAGAACATGCAGTGCAGTATAGCTATTTCCCTGAAATAAGGCAATTTGTAGTGTCAATGTATGGGAAGGAAGAGGTGCCATCCTCCACCTGGCCTATTGCAAAACACTGAAATAATTTTAGTCCATTTTTTCTGGGTTCCATCTTTGCCCTGTAAAACCCCAATAACTAAGATTATTCCATGTCTTTCTCTTAAGTGCTCCTAAGCTGTGTTTTTACCACGTGGATTTCACTGGTAATCTGTAGAGCAACAGTTGTCCTCAGTCTGTGCTCCAGTGCTGAGACAGGGTTAATGCTGCGGGAGAGCTTGTTTGTGCCATGGGGTCAAGGTTTCTCTCCCTTCAGAGCACCTAGCACTGAGGCACAAAGCCATGGCGGTGGTGGGGTTACCCACGTGCGTCAGCAGCCTGGTAGCCCTTCCGTGTGCCCACCTGCTGCCCCTGCTGAGTCGCTATGGGGCAAGCAAACCACGCAAATGCCCCAGGTGGGTTTTCCTGGAGATAGGACTGATCCTAAAACTGATGCCAGCACAGCAAATGCACGGCGCTCTCACCCAGATGTTAAACTTCTGGTCTTGTGATGGATGATGTGTTTTGAACGTGTTTCTTGGTAGTTCTTTATTTCTACAAAGTTTTTGGGTGAACAGGAAAACCATGTGTTACCTTACCTTTGCCATTTAGTTTCTAACCCTCAGCTGCACCCCCTCGAGACTGCAATGTGTCACGGTTTTTTGCACAAGTTAAAAAAAAATGCTGTGCCCTGCCCCAAGGCCGTGGAGGTCCCTTGTAAGTTGCCCCTTTCCTGGGAAAGGCAGCCGCTAGGTCTGGAGCTGTCACTCAGAGGCATCTGTTGAGGCACACAGACCGCGTCCTCGTCGCATTCAGGACAACAGTAACCGTGCAGGTGGGCAGGCCTGGCCACTCTGGTGCTTCTTCTTTTGTAGATCATATTTAGAGTCCTGGTCTCCTGCTCATGCACAGAGAAACTGAGCCCAGGAGGGAGAGGGACTTGGCGGTGGTCGCACAAAACATCAGCAGTGGAGCAGAGAACCGAACCTCCTGAATGGGGTCCCATGCCTGTGCTTGGAGCCTGTCAGTCAAAGTGTATCTAACAGGTGACTGGAAGAGGCTCTCATGTCTCACTTGGACACATGTGAGACCTTATTAATCGTGTGTGTGTGTGCTGGTTTTTGGCACCTAACACAATCTCTGTCCTTCCCCTTTGCCTTTCTTGCTTTTACCAGAGGACTGAAAAGGGAGTGTGGCATTTAATGCTGCTCCATTAGAGATCATGTGCTCTCAGCTAGCGGCAACATGGCTGACACTCACTGGGACTGTGAGGGTACTGTGGAGGGGAGCAGGCTTGACTTCTCTGGTTGTTAAAGAAACCCACTGGATGTGTGAGGATGGGTGGTTGGGCTTCTCAAACAGGCAGGAATGGAGGCATGTGAGGACATGAGCTGTTAGTTTAGGAAGGAAAATCAAAGGCACGTCTTGGAAAGAAAAGTGCTGGTTATAAACAGACACTCTCCCAGGCTGCAGCAGTTTGCTCTGGAGAGACCTGCCTGCTGGCAGCTTTCTCTGGGGACAGTGACTGCGTTTGGTTTTGTGTTCCCCCACCCCGTGTGCCTGCTGCAGGGCTCTCGGCATCTGCTCTAGCAGCATTGAGGTGCAGGAACCGAAGAGGAGACCCAGCAGTAAGCTCTGGCTCTTGGTGATGTTCAGATGCAGTTATTTCACTTCACGCACATGCACAACTCTGCTGCTGCTTCTGAGCTGACAGCTCCTGTTAGTGAGGCACTAGATCCAACTGAAAGGAGTTGTGTTTCCCTTGGTTGAAGCGCCATTAAGGTAAAACCGCAAGAACTTGGGACAGAAAACGCGTTTAGCACACTTTGCCCTTTCTGTGAGGGTGAGCTGAAATCATGTTTTAATCAGATGAGGGGAATTAACAAAATGCATGTCTAGAAGCCATCCAGGACTCTATCCAGGTCTTAAAAATCACTGAGATCATAAACAAATTAGACTGTTTCCTCTTTACTTGGCTATCAAAAATAAGTTCTGTGCCCTGCATAAAGAGAGCTTGCGATAAATTTTTCAGGAATTAGATGCAATGGGGCCAGGAGAGACTTTCTGGGACCTGTGGGTCTGGTTAGAAAAAGAGCCTTTTGCACTACAATTGGAAGGGGTAGTGCTCCTTCCTTGTCCCTTTGAGAACAGGGAGTTGGGAAGACCCTGTCCAGGTTCTACAGCCTCCCTGGATGGTGCCTGCATCTGTTACAGATCATCTGAGCTAACGCCTTTCCCCTGGTCAGATGCAAGGGGTACACCCAGCTCTTTTGGCTTTGGAGAGACAAACATTCTTGGGAAATGTAACAATGACATCCTCCCAGCACGGTGTTGTCTTGCCAGAATGGGAATGGCTGCAGTGTTGTTGCTGGCCCTGGTGATGTTGACACAGTCAGGAAGGTCGTAGCTGGAGTGTAGCTCTTCTGCGTGGAGTTCCTCCACTTGCCAAAGCAGCCTGGAACTGGGGCTTCAAAAGTGTTAACGTACATTTGGTCTGTGCCTAAACCAACAGCTTCCTAATGCCACCGTTGCTAACTAAATAGCCCCAACTCTGCTCAGTCCCTTTCTCTGTTGTTTTAACTACATTTACCCACTAAATTCTGTATTTCCTCCTGATCTGTCCTCCTAGCTAAACCACAGGATTTATAGAAAAGACCTCCACTGGAAATTGCACTTTCTGGAAGAGCCTCTGGGTGGGATGTGAGTCTCCAGTTCTGCTGGTTGGTTTTGCAGGACAGATTGGGAAGGGCCCTGCAAAGGGCTCTGGTGTTTCTGGGGAACCCTTGTGGAGCACAAACCTCTTGTGTGCTCATACCGGGGACCCAAGATGCCACCTCTGATGCAGTGACCACAAATGTACCAAGCGTATGAGGATGTGGTATTCACTGCTACTCCCAGCTTCTCCCCAAGGTGGGTTAGCCAGCCAGAGTATGCTGTTGTCGCTGCCTGACTGAACTGGCACAGGCCTCAAACTGGGAGCTTATTGGCTCTGTAGTTGCTCATTGGGCCAGAGTTAAACCTGGCAGCTGTCTCACTGAAAATCCTGTAGCTTTTATGGCTGTACAAAGGACTTTCCAAAACTAGTCTAGAACCTGTTGTGTTCCCAAGTCTGCAGGCAGCCTTGAATAGCTCCGGGGACAGTGAGAGCTACTCTTTGATGTGAGCCCTGCGGTAAGTCCTAGCAGTGGCTTTGTGCAGGCAGCAAAGTTGAGTGTTTTGGTGTTGGCTCTCCTGTTCCTTTTGATGCAGGGCTCCTACAGGAGAACAAAGTGTGGTGGAGCCCATTAGTGTCAATTCTTCAGCGGTCTCCTCCTACAAAGTGCCAGCTGCCCGTGGGAGGCAGGGAGGTACTTAAAGCTGGGGCTGGTGCTGCCAAGTTGTGCTGCTGCCACCTCTCCTGCTGTGGCAGGGAGAGCTGGGATGGTGAGAGACACTGTGCCAGAGCCTTGCCCCAGGGAGCCCAGGTGGTTTGCTCTGGCTCCTCTACTGCCCTTTTTCCCAGCCCAGATAACCATCGTGTCAGTTCAGGTGGGCCCTGGCAATGGATGCTGTTAGGGTTTTTTTTCCCCATCCCAGTGTGACATTCCCAGCGGTTTCGGCAGGGAGCTGTGGAATGTCTCCCGCTCCCGCCGGGGCCCCCCTGAACAAGACGGGCATTGATGGGGAGCGCTTGGCTCAGCCACACACAGACAGGGAGGGCTCTCTGGTTTGGTCCCCGACCCCACAGGGGGAAGAAATAACAGGAGGTGAATGGTAACATCAAACAGAGCCCAGCCTGGCTTTCATCTCCCTGGCACGGTGTGGAGGGTGAGGCAGAGGGAAGTTGAGGCTCTGGGGCTCCTATGTGGGGGAGCCGTGTCCTGTGCGGTGCCAGCGCCTCCAGCATCCTACACCGCGTAGGCTGGTGGTACAGGACAGAAAGGCCCTGAAATGCTGTGAATTTGGCCAGTGCAGGTAACCTCTGCTTGTTGCAGGAATGTGACAGCCCCTCCCAGCATAGTCGCATGGGCATCCACAAGCAAATTGGCTGTGCTTGTTCATGCAGGGCCTGTTTGTGCATGAGCAGAGGTTGCACAGCTGTGGGGATCTCCCTCTTGTCCTGTGTGTGCTCTGTGTGCACCAAGTTGCCACAAAAGCCTGCGGCAGCATGGTTGCACCCTGGGGCCTGAGCATTGCCTTCGGCTGCTCTGGGTGTTGGTGCTTCTGTGGAGGTGGTGCCCTCTCGGAGGAGGGCTCTGCCCCACAGGGTTTCTCAGCCCTCGGGTTGCCCTCCATCCACCCTGGGGCACTCAGCAGGCAGCTGGAGCCCAGGGCCCTGCTAGCTGCTGTTGCCAGCAGCCTGGCCAGGGACACCCGTGCTTGTGAGTGACACCATGGGCGCTTGTCTCCCAGCAGAGTATCCGCAGGGCCCGGTCCCCACCCTCTGGAACGAGCCACCCGAGCTGCCCTCTGGAGCTGGCCCCTTCGACGCTGCCACCACCACAGCCCGGCTCTCAGATGCTACCGCCTTCCCCCCATACACCTCCGAGCTGGAGCCCGAGGACACCACCCACCTGCACCGGCTGGACGCCGGGAACGGTATGTGGCTGTGCGGTGGGCTGCCTGCATGTTGCTCCCAGAGCAGCCTGACAAGTCCTCACTGTGGAGTTGCTCTTTATGGGCCTGTCAACTCCCAGGAGGTGTTTGAGCCACCAGAGGTGGCTTTCTCCCAGACACCGCGCCCCTGCCGAGGCCTTTCCTCCTGCCCTGGGTCTGACACGTCACAGCAGACACCAGCAAGAAGTGTCTCGAGCCTAGGTAGGCTCCAGGGCAAGAGCATGCCTGAAGCTCTTTAAGTGGGGAGCATGAGCACCTTCCCTGGCTCCTGAACTACAGCAAATGCATGTTGTGATGCAGTTCTCTGACAAGCAAAGCAACTCCCTCAGTGCAGGTGTAAGAGGAAAGCTGAGCGCCAAAGATGTGCTTTGTGGCAGCAGCCCTTGTCGCCAGGAGCTGGCTAAGGGGCGAGTGGCTGGCTTCAGTCCCCTGCCCAAGGTCTCCATGCCACTGGGGCACAGGACTGCACCTTGGCTGTGTGGGGACATGGGAACAGGGCCACTGTGGCCAGTGCAGGGAGCTCTGGGGCAGGAATGTGCCCTGATGGCTGGGGATGTGCTGGGTGTGGGGGTCATCCCCATAGCCCTTCCCATCTGGGACCCGCTGGCTCTGCTGACCTCACGCCACCTTGTTCTCTGTCCTTGCAGGCTCACTGGGGCCCGGAGCTATCGGTGCCATTGTCATCGCCTCCCTCCTGGGTACATCTGTGCTTGTGGCCTTGGTCGTCATCACGCTGAGAAAGTTCTCGGCCTCCTGAACTCAATAAAAGTTTTTTCTGTTACACAACCAGCCTGTCTCCTGCCCTTGACTGCTCCTGCTCCCCGTCTGCCCGGGGTCCCCCAGGGAGAAATGCTGCCATGGATGCGGCAAAGGGTGCTCTAGCCCCTGCACTGGGCAGCAAAGCTGCACCCCGAAGTGCTCTTTGCTCTCAGTGTGCAGATATCTGGGTGCACGCAGACCTGGCAGGCTTGACCACAGCAGGCACTGTCACCCCCGCAGTCAGGAGGGACCTGTGGCAGAGAGTGGCTTTGAGCTGGCAGCAGCTCTCTTCGTTACCGCTGCCCAGGCTAGACCGTGTTGGGCATCACCTTGCACAGCTTTCCTTGGAAAGGTTTAGTGTAAACCACCCTGATACTTCCCCGGTCTCACCCCACCACGTTCAGCTCTCTTCCACTCCCTGTGTTTGGGCCAGATGCCCCCCACCAGTCAGAATGGAGAGAACTAGGGAGGAAGCAAGCAGTTGGTGTGGGGGGAGGAAGAAGACGCATGTGCATTGCTTTGGCGCTGGCTTGCTCAGCTATATTTCATCACACAGAAAAATGAGACAACAAGAAGTTCTCCTCAGTTCGCTGAGGCAGGCCAGGCGGGGCTCCAGCCTGTGCTAGCCCTGTACAACACTTGAGACCACTGAAACGGAGGCGTGCAGGGCTGGGTCTGAGGAAATAACACTGGATGTCACTTGGTGCCTGAAAATGGCACAGCCTGTGCCTAGGGTTTGGAGTCCTAAAAAGTCACGACCGAGCAGGAGAGTCTGGGGTGAGTCCCTGGGCTTGGTGGTGGGTTGTGGGACAGTGCATGGCAGCCCTAGGCACCTCTCTCCCCAGAAAAACGCAGTGAGGAACTGGCGTCCTGGCACTGGGGAACCTGGGTCAGCCCCTCCACTGGCAAAAGAGCTGTTTCTGACAGGTAAGAGCATTTCTGCGCTATGAGAAACACCCCAGGTGAGCATGTGGGGCTGCAGTGCGTGGGCTGGGCTGGCTGCTGTGCTGCGAAGCTGGAGGATCTGGGATGTGGCGATTTCTCAGGTAATTTTAAGGACTTCTGGAGCTTCTCTGGGTTTTGCTATAGAGAATTTCTGGCTGCTGCAAGGTCTGGACCCTGAACTGGAGGTTTGGCTGTAGTCAGAAAGCTGAGTGTGGGGTGCTGTTGGGGGCGATCTGACGTAGGGTGTCCCCATTAAATGAGCTCAAAGCAGCAGACTCTGGGCTGGGCGCTGGCAGGTGCCTGGGAGCCTCCGGCTGGTGCAAGCTGCCCAGGGGTGCTCCAGGTGGCCAGGGCAGGCGTGGCCCTGCTGGCTGTTGTCACATGCTAACATGGTGGCACTAAGCTAGGTCTGAGGGGGGGACCCCTTCGCCCTCGCTTCACTACTGTGGCTCCCCCTCGTTTGGTCCTGGGGGCTGGCTGCAGCTCCCCCAGTGCAGGGCTGACTCCGGGCCGGCTGTCCCAGGGCTGCGGTGACAGTATGGACAGCCCTGCGGACAGCTCTGGCCCTCAGCTGGGTCCAGCCTCACGCTGCACACCCCATATTTAACCTGGGCCCTGTGTGGCCCAAAGACCAGCTCCAGCGCAGCGCTCCAGAGCCCCCCTCCAGCAGCTCCCCAGTGTCCTGCTTCCTCCCCACGCTGCTATCGGCATGGCTGTGCTCCTCTGCTCTCTGCACGTGGCTGGTGTGTGGCTCCGTCGATGGGCGGCTGCTCTCCATCCCCTTTTTGAGCACAACTGTGGCACCACCGGAGGTACAGCAGCGCAGGCCACAGCGCCTGGAAGACTCTCCTTTGCAGTGTTACAGAAAGATGCCAAATAATTGATTTCCCTGATGGATGCTGGCAGCAGCTTAGGACCAGCCTGTAGCTAAGAGGCCCTCGGCTGTGGCCATGTGGGGCTGTTCAGAGTGAGGCTGTTGAACAACAGGCGGCTGCTCTAGGTCCATCCCCCGGCCAGTCTCGGTGCTGTGCTCTGGGCTTCATGCGATGCTCAGTGCCACAGCTGGAAGGAGTGACGATCCGGCTCGGCTGGCAATAGAGGATTTGCATATATACACGGAGGTGAGCCTGTACAGGGAGTTTGTGCGCGCAGCTGGGTGGTGTGGGTTACAAGCATGCAGGCAGCGGTCGCCGGGCCTCCCGCAGCAGGTGGGACAACAGCTCCTGGGGTAATGTCACTTGCCCGCTGCGTGGCAGCCCAGGTCTGCTGGTGCTCCCGTGGTATGTGGCGGTCTGCAGGGAGACGCTGGCACAACCACCCTGCTCTGTGCCTTGGCAGCAGCGAGTAGTGGAGATTGCGAGTGCCAGATCAACCAGGAAAGGACGCAGTGCCAAGCTTCTGCAGCGGCAACGCGGAGGGACGCCAGCTGTGGAAGAGGGGGTGAGCCATGGGGCAGGGCCCAGATGTGCTTTGAGACCATCAGGCAGGCAGACATGGGTCAGGGCTGGCAAGGTTGGGCTGCTGGTGGAGCGCAGCTGGGTATGGAGCATTTTTGGAGCGTTTCACTGAAAGCAGATCGAGGGTCTGCCCGTGGGAATGGGCCCAGTGGCTTCACAGCAGGACTGGGGAGGTGGAGTTCCTGGGGCTCATCTCATCCTGGTGCCAACAGGCTGCGTGAGAGGCAAGACAGCTCCTCTGCTTCAGTTTCTACCCCTCTGCTTCAGGAGGGCCTCAAACTCAAAAGGTAGTGATGAGCTGTAAGTGCTCAAACTGGGCATCATTAATTGCTTAGTTATGTTTGCGGCCTTCCCAAGCGGCCTGAGCCAGACCCAGCTAGCATGTATGCAGGGAACGGGGTCAGCTGGCTGACACCTGGTGGCCTTCAGGCTGTGTCCGTTTCACTTGTGCTCTTTGGGGCTTTACAGAATATCTGGAAAGGAGTTATTTTAGCCAGTTCAAAGCACTGATCTCCAGGAAAGGATCAGTGCTGTGGGAAGCATGGTGGGAAGCAGTCTGTTTGTTCGGGGGGTCATGTGCCTAGTCCGGCACACCAGGTCCTGCACCATGGCCCACAGCACCACCGCCACATCCTCCCAGCTGGCAGCCTCTGTCCTCTGCCCCTCTTCCAGAGGCACTCCAGATACTTGGGGACACCAGAGGTCATTGGCGGTTTCTGCTGCCCAGTTTCCTCCGCTGACTGTCATCTGACTTGTGCACCCGGAAACACTCCTTCAAGTTCTGGGCTCGGATTTTGGGGTTCAGGATCTCCTCCCCCATAGAACTGGGGAACCAGCCCCTCTCCTGGTCATGAAGACGCTCCCCAAATATCCAGCCTGAGCAGAGACAGAGACAGGCATGAATGGGAAAGGACTGGCCTTTGCTCCTGCGCTGGGACAGTTGTGCTGGAAAGAGCCTACAGAGCTGGCAGTGCTTTCTGGAAGCTGCTCAGGGGCCTGCACTGAAGCAGATCCAGTTTGTAAATCTAGCCAAGAAGGCCCACTTGCCTGAGCAGCACTGTCTTTGGACAGCTGGCTCAAGGGATGCCAGCAGAAAGCAGGCACTGCTGCCACTGAGTGCCCTCCACTGCCCCTGATGCCACAGGAGTGGTCCCCAGCAGAGACCCAACATGACCGAGTCCGTCAGCTACAAGTGTGCCCCAGAGGCCAGGACCAGGTGGCTGCGAAGCATCACCAAGGTAAGAACAGCTCTAGGTTACATCTGGGGTGGCTGTGCTAGCCCTTCCATGGCCCAAAGCCGGTGCCAGGGTGCCTGTGCCAGCACTGCCATAGCTCAGGGCAGCCTGGATTTGCTGAGCGTTATGAGGAGGCAGTAACTCCCTCCTCCTGCTGTGAGCTCCCTCGGCTGTGATGCTGATGCCAGGGTCTCTCCCTGGCCCGAGGGCTCCTCCTGTCTGCTTGGCAGCTGCCTGCCTAGAGCAAAGCCCACCCTTCCACAGGGGCAAACAGCCCAGCCCCATCCCGTCTCCATACCATCATCTGTCTTGTCCAGGATGTTGAGGATGTCAGCCAGTTCTAAGGACAGCTCATCTGGCTGCTGGGCCACGTATGGGTGGACGCACTGGATCTGCGGGCAGTCTGCCAGGGAACAGGGCAAGAGTTGAGGGATGGACTGGGATGGAGCCCGCTGCAGGACAGCACAGCTCAGGTGGGTGTAGCACCATGAGTTCCATGAAGTCCCTCTGGTAAGAAACCCCACGGAGGCCAAGGAGTGCCTCAGCCACAGGGACCAGGGGAGCATCTCTGTGGGGAAGGGAGCCGGGTGCACACCACCACTGCAGTGCCACCCATGAGCAGCTTGGGTAGGAGGGAGGGTGCTGGTGCAGCCCAGGCCAGGTTGGAGGGGAGCAAGGTCAGGACCAGGCCCTGAGGCAAGTGGGTATCGATGATGGAAACGCAAGGGGAGCCCAGGGAGAGGGTTCAGCTTTGGCAGAGGCCCGAGACCTGGGCCTGGCCTGAGATCAGGGCAGAATAAGGTGCCCTGGGGTAGGGGTGAAGAGCTCCTAGCTCCCATGCTGTGTCTCTTACCAACAAGTCTGGATGTAAATGAAACGAACTTGGTTCTCCGGTTTGGGGCCAGCGAAATCATCCAGCGCTTCATTTCACTCCTGGATAAGGGAGACAAATCGAGGCTATGAGCATGAGACAGTCCTAGGGACCCCAGCTCTCCTGCCCAGCCAGCCCTGGGCTCCTAATTCCTCCTCTCATGGCCCTTTCCTGCCTGCTCCCCTGGTGTCCTGGACTCACTGGTGATGCTGAGCCCCCTTGTTACATGCACCGGTTGGGATGTCACATAAGCCGCAGTGCCCTGGGCCCTGCTGCACAGGCCTGGCTTGCTGCAGGGCCACCAGGCTGGCTGTACCCACAAGCAGCAGAATACCCCTTTGGGGAGCAGCATGGCTTCAGAGAGCCAGCAGCAGGGTGGGAGCCTGGCGTCCTCTGAGCTCTAACCAGCAAAGGCAGCTCCTGGCTGGGCTGGGTCAATAGGAGCAGTTTTTCCTGGAGAAAAGCAGTTAGAGGAACCATTTATTCCTGCAGCTGCTGTGCGGGAACATTTAAAGGTCAGAGCTGATTAATTCACTTGCAGAAGAACACTGCGGCATACCAAGGGTACCGCTCACTTGGCAGCAGATGAGACGAGAGACCCGTGTGAACACATCGCCAGATCCAGCACACTGTTATGCAAAACCTGGGCCTGCAGCAGGAGGGTGAAGATTTCACAGGTGCTGGAGAAGCCCCAGGCCTGGTGCTCCCTTGAGGCTTCCCTCAGCCCCGCTTGGAAACAGGGCAGTTCATCTTTATAGGCTCCAGCTCCCTCCTGGAGGACCAGCTGTGCTCCCGGCCCCAAGGGAGCCAGAACTTTCTACCTTCTCAGATGGCAGTTTTAAAGCCTGAACTTGACACACATCTAAAGCCACAAGAGTGTCTTCTGGGAGGAGAGAGGCCTGAAAAGGAGACGGGAAGGACAAGTGCTGGCAGGCTGATCTGCAGGGCTGGGAATACCTGGTGCTTCAGGGCTGAAGCATGATGTCAAGGACCAGTGAAAACACCTGCAGCTGCAGGTCAAGTGCAGCCCCTCACACCATGAAGACGTGCACGATGAAGGCCCTGAGCACTAAGGGGTTGGCACACAGAGATCAAACCAAGGGTCTTGCCGTGCTTATGGCCCTATCTGCAGGCTGGCCTTGCACACAGCAACTTGCTCTTCGGATTCTGCCTGCAGCGTCCAGCCCCTCTCAGGGGCCCACCTGCACTCCAGTCCTGTGCCTGTGACCATCTGTGTCCAAAGGTACTGCCAGCTCCTCGCAGAGCCCAGCCAGGGCATTAGCTGCAAGCTGCCACCAAGCAGGTCATCATTGCCGTATGGGTTCAGAGCTGGGCAATGCTGCAAGAGCTGTGGAACAGATGCAGCAGTCTCTGGCAGCCACTTCTCTCTTCTAATTCTTCAGTTTTCCAGTTTGTGCCCAGTACTGCCCCAATCATCCCTGCAGCCCTGGAACAGCAGCCTTCAGCAGCTGCAGGATGCAGAAGCACAGAACAGCAATTGCCTCCCCTGAGCTAAGGCTTGGTTTATTGCTCTCTGCACAGCTAAGTCTCAGAGATGTTAAAATGTGCATTTGCCCTGCATAACGTGACTGACATCTCTATTTTCAGTACAGCAAAGCTGCAGTCACATGTCTGGGGAGAAGGTGCAGTTGCTTGCTGTGCTGGGGGCTTGTCTTCCTGATGCTGCTGCTGCACTGTGCTGGTGGGGGTCAGGGTGTAGCCCGGTTTGTAGGGCCAGCCCAGCTGCAGCAGTGGGACCTCTGCCTGCCTGACCCTGGTAAGCCTGGAGAGCTGGCCCCCGTGCAGGCAGGGTGCTGCCCTTGCATGGTGTAGGGAGAGAGCAGTGCTGAGCGCTGGCAGGGGTGACTTGTACTCACTGGGACGATGCCTTCAGCATGTAGCTGGCCTCCCGGTCATCTGCATTCTCCAGCAACCTCAAGATGAAGACGTTGGCCAAACTCTGCCCCTGGTCTTCTAACTCCTCTACCCGAAGAAGCCCCCGGGGAGCCGAGTCAAACACTTGGTACTTGTCCCTGGGAGAGGTTAGAGGATTAGGAAAAACTGCAGTTATCCCAGGAGACTTTGGCTTCAGCCACCCAGAACTGCACTAGGGACACGGACCAGGAACCTCTGCATGGCAGGAGGATAAAAGATGCCCTGCTGTGGGAAGGGATGAGCGGGTGGCTATGAAAACCCACTGCAAAGCAAGGGACGCTCTCCTTGCTCTGCCTTAGGCATCCTGCATGGCCTAGAACAAGTTGCTTGCTCCATCTGAGCTCCCCATGTACAAAACACAGATGGTGCTCCCTAAAAGGGGACTGTGAGGCCTAATTCATTCCTATTTGTAAAATGCCTCTGTGTTTTCTGGATACAAGCTGCCGCAGAAGCAAAATATTTCCAGGTGTACAGACACTGTGGCGACATGTTTATTAGAAACGTTGGACTAGCAAGATGCTCTCTACTGGTGAGTCTAGTTAATGCTACAAAGAATGTGCTGTTCTCTGGGACCCGCCTGTTTGGGCTGCTGTATTTCTCTAGTGTCTAGTTGCACAAGACATAGTCCTAAGCATGATGACATTCTCCTCCTCCTGAGGCAGGTTACACTATGTCAAATATAACCGCTAGCCTCAGGCCTAAATTTATACCCCTCCCTGCTGCTGAAATTTTCTAGCCTGCTTTCTTAGAATTTTAACTGTCTAAGTCTGAGCTGTTCTTCAGGCAGCGATGAGTCAAAAAATCACTTCTTGACATGAAGACAGGCCCCCTGGGTCAGCCCACCAGTTGATGTAGCTCACTGCCACTCTGCAGAACTGGTGGATACATGCTCGCTTACCCTGCTGGGAGACCTGGCCTGGAATCTGTTCAAGTCCTGATTGCCATAAATTTTCAGCTGGAGAGAGCTGTGCCACCCATGAAGAGTCAACTGCACTCAAAGGCAAGGTGACTGCTGGAGGGGGGGGTGTACAGGTCAGGCCTGGATGCCCTCCCTGTGCCTGGGGGACAGGAAAGGGGCACAGCATCATAGCTTGGATAAAGCCAGGGGCAAATAGGACTAATGAAGTGCCCTGCATACTACCCAAATTTTGCACTCACCCAGGAATTTGCCGGCAAATTACCAGTAGATCATTGAAAAGGAACAAGTAGATTTCTCTGAAGAGTTTCTTGGTGCGAAGCGTTCGTGATGTCTTTGGACCATTCATTTGCTGCAATTCCCCCTGCTTCAGCAGCCAGCGAGAGTGAGAGATGATGGGCACAGACTAGGTGAGGAAAAGATGGCAAAGATCAGGAAAGCAGCAAAAACCCATGGGCTTATGTGGTCAAGATGTTGAAGGCAACAGGAGATGCAGAAGGAAGGGTAGTGAGCTCTCATCAACACCTCTTGCATTGCAGAGGATGGAGCAGAGCTGGACAGAGGGCAGTGTGCTCTGCCATCCACACCGCAGCCTGGCACAGTGTGTAACAGAGCTCAGACAGGGACGTGGCAGGGGCCTGAGAACGAACGCTCAAGGATGCTGATGCTGGAGTGCCAAGTGCCGGATTTAAACACCAGGCTACACCCTGCACAGCCTGATCTGTCTCTGGGAGATCCCATGTCTCATCACCTGGGCTGAGCCTTTCTGGCCAGGGAGACTGACTTTCAAAAATGTGTATTTGGCCTTTTGGCTACACAAAAAACAGGTTAAACGGGTTCTCACTGGTTGGGTCTGTCCCAGCCAGGAGGAGATACTGTCCATGCAGCCACAACAGCTGCTGGAGTTTTACCACACATTGTAAAAACAAGAAGCCCAGAACAAAGCACATCTTATATTGAAAGAACACTACGCTTCCAGTCAAATGGCTGAAATATTGGAAAATATCTGCATAACTGCTACTCTTTCCACCTTCACTCCCTCCTTGTGTTCAACATGTGCATAGTGGCACATTCTTTCTTTCCACACTCTTGCACTCTTTTCACCAGAGGAGCCCTGCCTGCACCAGTGCCCAAGGTAGACATGCTCCAGGGATGAACCAGCTCCTGCCTGTCATTACAGCCTCAGCTTTACAAGAGGTGAAAGCAGTCTTGTGGCTACCCCAATCTACTGCTGTCCTGTGGACTGTGGTCTAGCCCTGACACACTGGTAAAGTGCTCTGGAAAATCAAATTTTTGGGCACCCAGTGTGGCTTTCCAAACAAATGGTCTCAAATCTTTTTGCTTCAGTTGTCCAGGTACATAAAAAGGCTGCTGGGAAGCTAAATATGCTCCTTAGTTTGTGAAGCAGACAGATCTGAGAAGCATCTCCATAGCACTCAAGAAAAGAATTGGCAACTTTATACTCAGCACTGGAGTTTCATGGCATATGTTAAATGAGATCTGGTCAGACACCCCTAAATATTGATTCAGTTATTCCCTGAGTGGAGCCAAAATAGATCATCAGCAGGTAATTAAAGACTGTACGTAATGCATAAATGCAGGGATGAATTAAACTGGTGGGACAGTCTTCATTTTGGTATTTTCCAGCTTTGAAGCATTTTGCTTTGTAGCTTTCATTTTCCTTTGATGTCATTTGTAATGTAAAATAATAGCTGAAAGCTGACCTGCATTTTGAAGAGAGGTGAGAGGGAAGAGCCAGAACAGAGTGCTGGAGCAGGAGTCACCCACTGTGCACAGGCTGTTTGATGCCAGTGTGTCACATCTGTGTACACGCACAACACGCTGGCCTCAGTGCTGCCCTCAGCCTCTGCAGTGTGCATGTGCAGAGATCACATGCATGGATGCAGTGCCTGCAGCAGCAGTAGCATCCCCTTCAAAGGCTTTGGAGGGGGACAGCATGGACCAGGCCACCACTGAACGCTCACTAAAAGGAGTGCAACTAGGCTACTACTGCCATGTATATGCACACAACACCCAGATGCTGTTGGTTGGCTGTCTGCAAAGGGTTACCAGCCTATGCTTATACCTTGATCTTGAATTCCAATTTCTTCTGGATGCTGATCATCTGCTCTGTTCGGCTCATCTTCCTGACACCTTCATTACATGCTTTCACCACCTGGGAAAAAGGGAGTAGAAAGATTTGCCTCCTTAAGCAGGTAAATGATGATGGACAGCACAGAAAGGCCTGACTGTGACAGGGTAAGTGCCCTGCCGTAACAGGAATTGACCAAGCCAAGCGCTTCTATCAGCCCTGTATTCACATGAAAAAGAAAAGAAAGAAGAAAGAAAGAAGAAACAATAACAACAACCAAAAACCCCCAAAACACCCAGATGATGTTATAGCTGGAAGCTAACTATCAGAGGACATGTTGGATGGCTGCATTCAGTTACTGAACCAGACAGTATTAAGCAACACTCCTGGTTGCACAGCAAAGGGAACAGCTCATTTGCCAGATCCTGACACACCATGTATCTCATCTTTCTTATCCCCTACACTTGAAACAAGGTACATGTGCAGTATCATCTTCAAGAAGAGAACGAAGCCAAAGATCCTCATTTCAAAGATGCAAATGCTGTGGTTCTGCCAAGCAGCACCAGATGCCAAGGCTATGAAACATCCCAGGAAAAGAGATGTTCATCATACAGAGCCCAGCTGTGTTCTGAATACAAGCTTTTAACTGAAAAACCACAACCAATGTGCAGGCACTACCCTATTACAGAGACCTTAACCTAGATGCCACTGCCTGTTTCATAAGGGGCAACTCTCTTGAGAACTGGCTATGTAAAAAAATTATGTTGGAGAACAAGCTCCGCTTTGTGCTCTGTTTCTGCTACTCAAAATCCACCAGAATATCAGCAACTGAAACCATGATCAGCTCCTACCTATCAAATAGGATACCTATAAAGAAAATAAGCACCAGATGGTCTCTGTTGTGATGTCTGCACTTAGCTGGACATTAGGCATGACATTTTTAGGTAAGTAACCATGCAGAGGGAGTTATGAAATTGATCACGTGAGTTACTGACAGCTGAGTATAAAGAGTATTTTTCCATCAGCAGTTGTAGTCATCTGCATACTACTGGAACAGCTTTCCTCAGGCTTTTGACCAATGGAAAAACTAATGGCTACCAGATACATCATGAGAGATTCTGCAAATACTAACAATGCAGAACATTCTTCATTGCTAAGGTCTCTGTCTTTATCCCTAGCGATCTCCAAAGCATACAATTCCTAGACTAGTTCAGGGCAAATCCAAGAACCCCTTTTGTTCTAGTACTCCAGTCAGAAGCTGCAACCATATCCTCAGGCTGATGTTCTAGCAGTTTTCAACTTCAAATACTTATACTGAACTGTGGGATTCAAGAGATGTTCCAAGCTTCTGATGGAGAAGGGATCAAACACTCTGTCCCAGCCCATGTAGCTGCCAGCTACGTCCAGATCATTCAGCTATGTAGCCTAGAGGTGGGATCACCCTGTCTGACCATGTCAGGAACAGCCCAGATGGAAAATGTCACGATGCCTTCCTGGTGTTTTGTACACAGCAGTAACTAGCACAACTGAACACCACACCTACCTACCAGCTTCAGGGAAGAGGGCTAAAAGCAGGCTTGAGTACTTCATTAAGAAGCTATTATTCTAGGTCAGAGGAAGAAGTGTGCTGTATTGGAGGAAACCTGACAGTTGTACCAAACAGTTGTACTCTACTGCCTGTTGTAGCTAATTACATCTCTCAGTGGGATCCATCACCTTCAGGTATCTGCAAAAACAATTTGTATTTGTGAAGACCGCCAAGGGAAAACATTCCCTCTGCCCTTTCCTACAGCAGAAACATACACATCTGTTGTTAGCAAGGGATTCCTCATCACTGACACCTAAGTGCTGCTAGACTAGTCCATCTTTGAGAGCAAGGAAGACTTAAGAAAAAAAATTACTCCTGAAACACAGTGACAGGATTCAAAGGGACAGCTCCAGGAGTGAATACAGTTTGTAGGTCTTTTCTAGGTGGGGGAAATGAGCAAGATGGCTTAATCTTAATGGCCTTCAGTTAGCTCATTCAAACTTACTGTTTCCAGCTCTTTATGTGCGTCCAGGGCAGTGGTTTCCCTGTCAGACTTCTCTTCCACTTTCTTCAAAATATTCTGCAGGGGAAGAAAGGCTGTGTTAACACTGATCCCAATCTGACAACACAGAAAAGTCTTTGCTAGCCTCAGAGTTATTTCTGGCCATCAGCCTAATTACAGGATAGGTGACAGAGTACAGTTCCTCTTTTTCATTAAAACCTGTTTCCATCTGACCTTATATCTAAAAGAAATATAGCAGGCAGACTCCTATTTCATAAAAATAAATGAATAAATAAAAATAGCTAGAGCTGGCACTAACAGACAGTGCTATTGGTAATCCCAGTGGGATAAGACCATTTGGGACTGAGCTGTTTCCTCATCCCTAGAAGCACGTCCTCCAGCACAGTGTTTAGACAAGCTGGCAAAGCACAGGGGGAAGATGGCTGACAGAATCTGGTCCAAGCTACCACGATGTAGAGTATTACACATGGAGCATTTCCATGTTCTGCAGCTGTTCTGCACTGTGCATCTGTATGTCAGCACCCTAACCATCAGGCAGCTGGGTTGATGGACTGTTGCTACCCCTTCTAGCAGCTTGACAAAGTTCCTCCTCAACTCTTTTGCTCAGTAAAAGCTATCTGGCAAATTCAACACTAATTTGGGGATGGTTTCTGAGCGACTGAAATCTTTTTTCTATGGTTGTTGAGAATGTCTGATTCTGTGGAAAGGCTTCATCCAGCTCTAGGGTTGATCGTGGCTGTATCTAAGCCTTATTCACAACTGCTGGAAATGAAAATTCCAGGAGTAATCCAGAAGACCTTCGGGAGAGATAGAAAAGCAAAACTCTACCTGCACCAGCAGCTTGAGCCGAGTGATCCTTTGAAATGGCAGAATCAGGAAGGAAGAAAAGGACAGGCCTTTGCACTTGGGATCCAGCTCCAGCTGTGAGATCACTTCCCGGAAAGCTGGCTTGTCCTGGCTGAGAGGAGAGAGAGAACGTGAGGGCTTTGAGTGCTACCCTGCCTGCAACTCTGGTATGTGGCTGGTGACCCAAAAGCAGCTTGGTCCTAGAGATGGCATCTGCCTGGCCTCTCCCAATAAGAGACAAGAGGGAAGGAAGGGACTGAATGCTTCTAGGTATATTTTAGTTTAAACCTAGAACTAGTTATAGCGTTGGGGGAGGGAAATAATAGACTTTCAATGTACAAGCCATGGTAGTGTTCACATGTGTTAGCACATCTAGCTCAGCAGCATACGCTGTGTGCGTAGGTGTGTGTGAATGGGGTGTGTGTCCAAGTAGATGAGTCAGAGGCATAATTATACATTTTTACACAGTTGGCTCTCTGTGACAAGGTGAAATTCACGCAGTCATAAGAACAAGACAAGCCACAAAACAGCTCAAGCTTGGCTACTCCTGCCTGCTTAGCCGGAGGATGGAAGTCATTATCTGACCTGAGAAAGGCACAGGCCATGCACGGGTCTTCCCTGATGGTGTCTGCAGCGGATGAGGGCATTGCTGGGCCATGGACACAGCTGCACAGATCAGCCTCACAAGCCCCAGCTGCCGTAGTCAAAGACAAGAGGTATTCCTCTTGGCAACTGTGGGGCCCTGAGGAAGACTTACACTGCTAGAGTCCTGGCTAGCAGAAACAGCATGAATGAGAAGACATTGCTAACTATGCAAAACCTGTCTTTACCATGTGTGACTTGCAATGATCCAAGAGAAGCCATTGTAAGTGTTTCTCCCTGCTGCAGTAGGTACTTGTGTGACGGTGTGACTCACCAGAGCCACAGCAGAATGGACCTGCATGTGTCTGACGAACAGCCAAATGGGGGGAACTGTGACACACCTCAGGCTTTGAGTTCAACCAAGTGCTGCAAAATTCTTGTATTAACTAGTCTATTCTCTTCAATTTGCTTTAGGTTCTCCCGCAGACTAAAAAAATGCTGCCCTGTAAATTCGTATCTAGGAATACCTCTATCTCCAACAGGTCTTTTTCAAGCTCAAGTAATCCAGCCTATTGCTGCTTTGCTTCTGAGTGTTTAGCTAATGGCTCTAGGCAAACTGTTTACATTCTGCAGCTATACTGCTCACCTCTGACTGAAGGAAACCCTGCGGTACCCTCCTTTTGGAGAGAACAGTTGGCCAAGCTCAATAGAGGCCCCTTAAAGTGGTTTTTTTTGCCTTAAAAGCTGGAGAGCAGAGAAAGGAAAGGATTAGGGCTTGTTACATTCCCCTGAACCAGCTGCTGCTATGGGGAGGAAATACAGTGCAGCATGTGCAATGGGCTGTCCTGGAAGAATCCAGGACATTGTAACTAAAGAAAAATTAATTCTCCTGCTCAAAGACAAGCTTGTAGGGCACTCTTTGTTTTGAGCTGGTGTAAGAGTATTCCTACTGGACTAAAAGATAAAAAAATACTGCAAAAATATCTTAGATTATATCCTCAGGCCGAGGTACCATCTGTGTGTGTAACACCAGAATGTGAAGAAAATGGCTTTTTTTTTTTTCAACAAATTTTGTTGTTGTGGAAAAGAAAATTTCTCAACTTTGGGAAGGTCAAATGCCTTGCTGAGAAGCTCGGGAAAAGCAGTGGCTGTTCTTGTCATCAGAGAGCTGCATTATATTCTTGGCCTTTCGATCTCTTGCCTCTGCCTGCAGTTTAAAAAATATGTATATTTCACATGTGTGTGTCCCCGTGTACACCATAAATATTTCCCCCAGTTGGGAACTGCTGGCTCTGAATTTACTTGGTATGTTACTTGCATACTATATCACCCCACCCTTACTATAAAGCCTTTTAATTGTGTTTTCTTTTTACAGGTGTAGTGAAAGATCAGTGAAGTGGGAAATCCTGTTTCTGTGCTACCCAGCCCTTTCTCATAAATATCAAAATTACAGCTAAATCCATGGCTTTTACAACTTTGCAAAATAATTTAGCATCAAGCACTGGAACTCACAGAAGCTGCTTGTAAGCTCTCTCCTGGTAGGTCTGGTTGGAGACGTAGGTGATGTACACAGAGAAGTGATTAACTGTATGCTGGTAGACAATATCGCACACATCTGAGATCACAATATTCTCTTCCACCCGCTGCTCGAGGTCCAACAGGAAGCTAGATGAGAAACCCAGCACTCATATTAATTGTGACCTGTCTGTCCCAGGTAGTTCCCAGAAGCAGCCCTTGGGGTCTCAAGCAATAATGTGTCTACAGGCTCTTTGAAAAGACAGTGGTTAACAGACTGCCCTAGTCAGCTCCTCCATCCCTCTACAAATGAGGTTAGCTAAAGTGATGCCATTCAGCGGGACAAAAATCCAGCAGCAGTTGTCTTACCGCTCACTAACAGCCATGACATCCAGGACATTGGAGAAGAGGATGTGCGCCTCAGACTGGTGTAAGATCTTTTTCAGACGTTCGTTCTCCATGAAGTGAGACACCAGTAGATTCAGACTCTTGTAATACGAGGCTTCGGAAGTAACCAGCTCAAACATGGCCTGGGGGAGAATCCCAAAGAAGGAAATCAGCAGGTACCTTCTAATTCTAAGAGAGGCGCACAGAATGTTAATGAGAACATCTGTGCTGCACAGAGTCATGGACCTTGCACCCACCCCCCATGCCCAGAGTCTCAGAGTATGAGGAGAGGTAAGCACGCAATGGCATTTGCCATGTGTTACACAGGATAGTGACTTGAATGGGGAAGATTTCCTCCCTCAACCATCAGCCCTGGCTCCTTCTGTCGCTCTCCTAAGTTGTTCAACCACATTTCCTTCCATTGCATCTCTCCAGCAGAATTACCTCTTTTTCTCATTATATGTAAGCAGTCTGATTTTCTGCACGTGCATACATAAGAGCACTTCATGGGCTCCCTCCTTCCTTCCTAGTGTCGCTCAGTCTTGACCTGAGGCTGCTCCAGGCACTAGCCCCTTCTATGCCCACTTGTCACAGTCCTGCACTTTCATCTCCATTTCAGGGAGTTCCCCTTGGCAGCCCCCATACACCCTCCAACCCCCTGCTGATCATCACATGCTGGCTTGTTGTGCTGCTCGTTGTGGCTTACTGTGCTACCCAGGAGGGTCTCCTTGCACCATATACACTCTTGTTTTAGAAAAGCCATGGTGTAGGGGCTAGGATGTACAGCAGCCAGCACACTGCAGTCCCAGCGTGCAACATGTGCTCCTTGGGGCAGAGCTAATACAAATACACAGCTGTAGTGCTCCAAGCCCCTGTGTCTTCCCTGACCCAAAGGAAATACAGCTGTTAGTGTCCAAGTGAGGCTCCCTGGTCAACCTCGGCCATACACTTTTCTGACCCAATTCACCAAGGACCGGGACAAGACACAGTAGTCCCTATTACCATAAGTCATAAATAATCTCCAAATTCAGTTCTTGTTTCTCCTGTTAGAAAACTCTGGAGCAAAGCCTGGCTTCCTCAGGCCAGGGGTGTGGTCTGGGGAAGCAGAAAGAGCAATTGGTGGTTTGGTTCAGAGATAAAAAACAATTTAATGAGACAAGGATATACAGCCTTCTGCCTACAGCAGGTGCCGCAGGGACAGTCCACTATTACCACACAGAGCTCCTTTACTCTCCAGGTAAGTCTTTGCTGTCTTTGTTCAGAGGTAAGTAAAAAAGGTGATTATTTACACAACTACTGAATCCGTTAGTTGAAGTAAGATTAACTGAAGATTCTCACAAGGACTTCAACACGGTGAAAATCATTAGATCCTTCAGACACCTCTTGATGAAGGTGCGTCTTGGGCTTCTTGTCCTGGAGCTGGCCCATGCTGCCACTGCTGAAAGAGGAACCTTTTGGTAGCTCAGTGAAAGTCTTGCTTCCTTGAACTGAAAGCTGCTTCGACCCTTGAGCCCAAGCTCCCCTACCGCCTGCAGCTCCTCTGCTGCACTCTGGTGAGGGTGGGAGCTGACCAGACACCTGAGCTCTGCCGACTCTCAGAGGCTGCAGGGGCTCAGCTAGAGTCGAGGAAAGCCCATGGAGCAGCAGGTACATGCATTATTTTTTGTGTGGCGTATACGGAAAAATGTGTTCCAAATTAGCTGGTGGTCTGTCTTTGTGTCTTGGTTATTCTTTCCTTTGCGTGGTTGTTTTATTATTTTTTATTTTTAAAGAAATTATTTTAAATTCTCCCCTGATCAGTTTTTGGCCTTTTCCTGGAAATACCACTTTGCATCACAGAAGAACCTGAGGTACAGAGACCTGGGTTATATTCCTGCCACTGTGCTGCAGTCCAAGATCTGGGAGGATGGGCACAGCAAGGAGGGACTGTTACTCAGTCCAGAGCTGCTAAAATATCAGTTGAAGTGATGTTTCAGCTCTTCGTGGGGTTTGTAGCCTAGGAAATATTTCCAGTGGCAGTTAAGTCAAACAGGTGGTCCTTTATTGCACCAGAGAAGGAGGCAGTGACTGCACAACCCCCAGAAGGGAGACATACTAAAGGGTGTGGGTACAAATGAACATACTTGGTCAGTATATGTGGAACAGCTGGTGTTTAAGGAATAAGAGGATGTTTTATTTTTTTCAAGGCCAGACTCCCAATGAGAAAAGTGGAGGCATATCAGCTTGGCTTCTCCCAACAGCTTCACCAGGGCACCTGGTGAACCTGACAGAGAACCTATCTCTCTCTCTCTCTCTGCATGACTGGCTAGCTCCTAAATGCACCTCTTACAGCTTTAACTGTACCTTTATATTTGATAAATGAGAGAAGTGGAAATAGGTAAAGATACAACAAAGAATAAGACAGGATGCGCTGGGACAGCCTGTCCCTTCCAGATATCCTGGGGATTGATACCACCAGTAATTTTGCACGGCAGCTTTCCAGACACTCCAAGCCAGGATTTTTTTCTGCCAGGTTTGATTGCAGGATGGCCATGAGAGCCAAGATCAAGACCTGCCACTCTACCACAGCACTTAAACCCTCAGACAACTTGCTTCATCTAGAAGGTTGTTTCCTGATCTGCAGAAGCCCCTCTGCCTATGTTTGGAGAAATTAATTTGTGTGTGTTTGCTGTTCACCATAGTGGGGAGCGCTAGACCTGTGTGGGCATGTGCAGAGTGCAAGCCATAACAAAGAAATAATGAAATCCATAGTGAAAATATCAATGCACAGGGTTCTGATTTAAAGGAGATGCTAAGAAAGTAAAGAACATCTCCACTGATCAAGACAAGCTTCTGGAAGTGTTCAGAGCATGTGCAAGGCACAAGTTTACTAATGTACTTTGGAGAACCAGCTGGTCCTCTGAAGACCCAAAGTACCTACTCCAAGCAGCCCAGACTGCTGTTTCCCTTTTGAATGGTAAATATGCGCTGCAAACTTCCTAAACTGGTACCAAACATCCAACCATGCAATGCAATGATGTGATCTCTGTGGAATAACTGACCTTTGCTAGCTCTAAGCAGTCACTAGAAAAAAGAGTGTGAGCTTCTGGTCTCAGAATTGCAAAAATACCTAGAAAAAAAATTTGAACTAAACGTCAATTGATCTAATACTATCTTCCTGAGCCTACAAATAGTCTGAAACTATCTCTTGGAAACATGACCAACACTGTTCCATCAGTCCTCTGGGTCATTAACTTCATGAAATCTCATAGTCACGTAAAAGCTATACCAATCATTTTCATTGCTTATGTTTTGGCAGAGAGACTGAGAAAGGAAAAGAGAAGTGAAGCGTGAGGAAGAAGGAAATATAGAAGATAAAAAAGGAGAAAAATTAAGAGTCACCAAAGACAAGAGTAAGTAATCCTACAGGCTAAATTCCTATTGAGACAATATGGTGGTTTATTGCATAATTGGAAATATCTGTTCCCAGTGGCCCTGCCCTTCATGTAAACCACCAGGTAAGAAGGGGAATTCTGGTCTAGTCTAAGAGGGATATTGTTCTTATCCGATGCCACAGCATTGGCTGTGACCAGCTCTCAGACCTGGTTGACTTCACAGGGCCAGTCTGACATCTACCTGCTAGCAGTGCAGTAAGACCAGCATGAGAGCTCTCTGGAGGTTTGAAATCTAAGGTTTGCTCAAAGAAGTCGCTCTTCCACACAGAGGCCATGTCACCAGTGTGCACAACCAGGTTCAAGTCCCTCTTTTGCTTGAGCAAAGAATATCTTCAGAGCTCTCTGATCTAAATTCACACCATGACACATGGTGCAGCTTAGCCTGTCTCTGCCCCTTTTTCTAACACCAAAGTGACCTGAATCCAAATAATCCCTGGCAAAAACTTTATCAAAGCAAAAATGTTCCAGTTCAAAGATTGAGAATACTTTGCTAATTTTTATTAATAAATACTTTGCTATTTTTATTAGTAAATTGTTTTGGGTGAGTTCCACTCAGCTCAGAATCTCCTAAAACATAGAAGATGAACACAGTGTAGGAAAATCAATACAGTTAGCAAGCAGAAAAGGACAAAATGAAGCAACTATATAGTAAATAAAACAAGGACAAACTGAAAGGTAGAGAACTGAACTAGGAAAGAGGAATAAAACGGAGCCACTCCACAAAAGGCCATACCAGTATCTAATTTAAGGTTCATGCTGAAAGAAGTTTCACTGATTAAATGTTGTTTCCTCTGATCTCTGGATCACTTCCTCTTCAGAGCCTAGTACATTGGTAACAGAATTTGTTTTAACCTAAATCCCATGTAATACAGGGAGTGTGTTTTCTCTCTAGTCACTTGTTTCTCCTGCTACATAAATGTTGCCTGTCATTTCCTTCACATTGACTCCATGTCAGAACCCAAACAGCATTTCTTTTGGCTTGTTCTTCTTGCATCATACGTTTTCCAGACAGTTAAAAGAAAACCCTTGCTGATTCATGTTTTGCTGTGTTTGATATTCAGCAGATGTCTGGATAATTAAAACTACCCTAACAATGAATTAGTAATTTCTGATAATTTTTCCAGGTATTTCCCTGACCTCTGTGATCTGTAACATGTCTTCTGCATTTTCTTTTGTTCTTCCTTTTTTCTGCATTTGCACCCACATTTTTTGTGACACTTCCAGTTGTTGTTTTACATCTTGCTAATCTCATATTTGCTTCAGATGAAAGAGGCTGGTGTGGCAGAGGCCATTGCTGTCTGAATTCTGTTTGAGTTCCTGGGGCTAATGGGCGACGCTGCAAGATATTTTGCTGAAATTTCTGGGGGGTGGATGTGGTTTTGGTTTTGGGATTTTTTTTCCTTCCTGAAACTCCATTTTCTGACAAATTGCCTTCCATGACACTTTTCAAGCACCCACTGCTCTTCCAGTCAAGTTTCTTGTTTTGATGCTTGAAAAACACCTGTTTCTTGGTTTTTTTATCTTGTATTAATAACCTGCTTAGTAATTTTCCATCATAGCCAATAATGAAGACCGGATTCTTCTTCTTGTTCTTGTCGCTTTCATTTTGCAGATTACTGCAGATAAGCAACTTTTTCTCTGACTCTTTAAGCCCTGCTCCATCACAGCTATGGTGGTGTTCCCTTCCTCAGCTGTGAATAGGAGTGTTTGCTTCAACTTTCTTTCCGTTTGTGTACTGGTATTCCTCCCTGGTCTAAGTAATACTCTTGTTCTACCTCCTGGCTGAAGAGCTGCAAGTTCTTCTAGTCCCTGTGTTTACCACAGCTTTGAAGAGAAAATGGGTCAGAAAGGTACAATTTTGTCCTTAAGACATTTACTCCAGAATTTCTGCTGCCCTATACTTCAGGTAAATTCCTCCAGTTCTCCTTCATGAGGCTGAACACTTTACATTCACTTAATCAAGCCCTCACGTACAGCTCAGACTCCCAATTCATATCCGATGTGAGTACAGTTCCAGCATTGCAGAAGCAGGCAGTGCTTGCTTCCAGCAAGGCTGAATTCAACATCATCTCTTTAATTGCCTTAGTGATTTCTCCAGCCCTCCTTGTTTTCTGTCCTTGACTCCCCTCACAAAGCAAATTCTCCACTTTATCTGTTCAATGTTCAGCCAATTTCACAGCTTTCTGGCTTTTAGCAATTTTATAATCTCTTACTGTGCTAAACCCAGAACAAACAGGAAGAAAATTTCAGCTCTGATAAACTAACATCAAGGGAAAGCACAGCACTTCTTTAAGGCAGCGCTGTCCCATCTCCATCTGCTTTATTTCTCTTGTTATTTAAGTAGAGAGAAGACAATTCAGCACACTTAATGTTGGGGTTTAGCAGCACAGAGATTTTTTTCCTTAAAACACCTACAGGTAATGAACATAACAGAAATGGCAGGTTTCGAAATCTACAATGCAAACTTAAGTGAATATTTCTCTGTAAAAGACTTCATTTTGAAGCAGAAAGAAAAAGAAAAGCTTGTCATTTTTCAGATGCCAGATTGTGTTTGTAATGCTGGCAGTTAGAAGTATCATGTTTTGCCAGGTAAACGGAACAAAGCTGATATGGAAATAACCAGTGCAGAAGAAGAGCATGGAAAAGCAACAAATCAACAAATCATTTTAGTCACCTTCAGCCATAACCCTGACACACTAACAGCCTGTGCTTGCCAGCCCAAGCTACCTTGTATAAACACCGGTCCCTTCCACGAAGGGTCTAAGTAACGCAGCCCTGCAGTTCACAAGATGAGCCCTGAAGTTACAGCCTTGGCCAGGACTAGGGTGGCACTGCATACACCAGGGATTCATAAATGTTGATTGTGCAAATCCAAGTAGACTTAGGGGGGAACTGCTCACACCCTGAGATGTTCTTCAGCACTTTGGATACTATTGTATGAGCCGAGGCTGAACAAATACATTGCCACAATGGTCTCACCAGAAGCAATCCTGGCGCAGGAGTACAGTAAGAACTCACAGGATCGAGCCTTTGAAGGCCCATTACTCATATTACAATGCACACCACACACTAAACAAGCCTTGTTTGTTTCCACTGCTGGCTACAAATGCAGTGCTATGCACTGACATAAAGCACTTGCGCTCCCCACGCTAACCAATGTAGGAACCAGGTGTAAATTGTTGTGTGACCGATATTTTCATTAATTGTGGCAGCTACCCCACCTATTCCTTTCACTGTTTGATGCAGCCCTATAAATTAATAGCATATGACTCTTAAACAGTGATGTCACTGCACTGTATGGCTAAAATGCAAATATACCTGTCGTTATTTTTTACTGTTTTGCATAAGACTCCAAGTAACACCATTTAAAAATAAGGAAGCTTATCAATCTCCATCTCTTCCCTTTCCATTAATACCATCGTATTTAAAACAGAATCCAGTTAACGGTTGAATTCTTCTAAGATTTCTGGTGGAAAGTACGTATCCTGCTTCAGAAGAGGATTAATATGCGCTGGGAACCAAAAGCCCTATTGCAACAGCCTCTTCCTTATCCCTCCCTCCCTTTGTAAATTGCTCCTAACACTGAATCAGAAAAGGGAAAATAAGTTCTTTTTTTGCTACAGAAATATCCAGCAGCAATAGCATATAGAACAACATCTGTAGTTTCAAAAAAAGAGCAAGTGGTGCTAACCAGTGCAACACAGAAAAGTACTCAGCAGGGCAAGGCTTGCTTGTGACTGCTATGAAGCTTTTCATTTTTAAATCTTGATCATTTGACTTAATTCATTCTCACTCTTTTAAACAGCAGCCCAGTTAAGAAACACTCCACCTTCCCCCATTACCTCCTGCAGCTTGATCTCATCTGGCTGGAGTATGCTGAGGACCCCGCTGCTCCGGATCTCAGGAAGATCCTGCCATAAGTTGAACCTGGAGTTGGAGTTCCTCAGCAAACTGATTTGTGGTGGAGCTTTGCTTTCAGTTGCACTTGTAGGTTCTGCTTCAGATGGGGTTTCCTCACTGGGTGAACTCTCCTCAGGGTCTGTCTGTGAATCCTGCAATCGTCTGGTTTCAATCTCCTGGCGTGTAGATTTATCTCGATATTCCTGATACAAGAGCCCTAGGAGGCAACATTAACAGGTCTGAGAAGTTACAGCTGAACAAAAGAGTACAAATGTATTGTGGGAAAGGATATTTGTTTTGCATTAGTTCACCTCAGCAGAGGCGAGACAGATCCCTTCCATACTAAGTGAAAAAGCCAATTATGGCATTCTTATTTCAGCCAGAAGTGGAAACTATAAATGGAAGGCCATTTCTAAATCTAAAGTGTTGTCAACAATCTGCTCTCGCAAAACATTTAGTAACATAGTCAGATGAATCCATGATCAATCGGAACATATAAAAGAAGCAGTTTGTTACTTGCCAGGCTTTAGACGTTTCTTTTAAACCTTGACTTTCTCTGCAATATTATTATGTTACAAGTTAAATAGATTGATAGGTATATGTAAGCGTGTGTCTGGAAAATTCTGCATACACTGAAAGGAGCAATTTGATGGCCATGAAAATTCTTAAGGAGGAAACACTGAGCTGCTGTCAAGGCATTGGACAGGTGAGGCATTGGGACAGCAAGCTACAGTTATTAGTTGTCCTGGTTTCAGCTGGGATAGTTAATTTACTTCCTAGTAGCTGGCATAGTGCTGTGTTTTGGATTTAGTAGGAGAAGAATGTTGATAACACACTGATGTTTTAGTTGTTGCTAAGTAGTGTTTATGCTAGTCAAGGACTTTTCAGCTTCCCATGCTCTGCCAGGTGCACAGGAACCTGGGAGGGGGCACAGCCAGGACAGCTGACCCAAACTGCCCAAAGGGCTATTCCATACCATATGATGTCACGCTCAGTATATAAGCTGTGGGGAGTGGGCTGCGGAGCAGTGATTGCTGCTTGGGGACTGGCTGGGCATCAGTCAGCGGGTGGTAAGCAATTGCATTGTGTATCACTTGTTTTGTATATTCTTTTATCGTTATTATTATTATTACTTTCTCTTCCTCTTCTGTCCTATTAAACTGCCTTTATCTCAACCCACAGGTTTTACTTTTTTTTCTGATTCTCTCCCCCATCCCACCAGGGGTGGGGAGGGCAAGCAAGCGGCTGTGTGGTGCTCAGTTGCCAACTGGGGTTAAACCATGACACTAGTTTGTTTTGGTATTGACTTCACAGTTAGCCTTGGACATGTTGCTTAATTTCCTTGTTTTCCTCCTCAGTTTCTATGATGATTGAAGACACAAAATTAACATTCAAAAGGCACCTGAATGCCACAGCACTAAGGAAAAGGCTCTGAATTCACACCATCTTGCGGCACATCAATCACATGAGGTGTCTCCTGAGTTTCAATTACTAACTTAAGGAGCAGATAAAATTGCACAGAATTTGCCCCCATCCCTGATTTCAACTGACAGCACAAAAAAGGTAGGAATCCTGAAACTCCTTGGCCATCTTTAGAAGATCCTTTGTCTCTCCTAGGGCTTTCTAACTGTCCCATTTCTCTTTCTGAGCCATCTGTAAGACCCAGAATATTAATTGCTTGAATATAAAATGTAATTTAGAAGATATGAAAAGACAAGAGAGCATGAGCCTGCTCTGAGTCACTCTCCTCACTTACTCAAATTGAAGGAGCACAATTTACATTATCTCCCTTGGTTTATGCTTGAATTGCAAAGTGTAACATGAATGAATGAAGAGAAAAGTCCTTGATGTTAAAAAAGAAAAACAAACCTACATAATTTATTTTGTCTGAATCATTAGGGGTTAAAATCTATCTGGTCACATGCATTCACAATACTGGATCTCAGAAGCAGATTCCGTGTATAACAAGGTGAGAGACAACTGGGTCAGGAGTTTGTCTAGGGAGGGCAGAAACATAGATGTTATTGCCTATTAAATCTCTGGGCCAGTTTTCATGAGGCTCTGTACCAGTCACTGTTAAAACTGTACCAGAAATATGCTGGGGAGAAGCGCAGGCACAAGGACAGCATTACTGCAGTCTGCAAGTGTATCCTGTTATCTGTTCTCCCTGGAAAGATGTTCAACACTGGATTAAAATAGCAATAAGGGTAGCTGTGCCTAGGAAACCATACAGTCTTCTGTTAGCTTCCTACACGATAACCAGAGAGAGGAGACTTCCCCTGAAGTTTTGCATGCTGCTGCTACTTATATAATTTCTCTCCGCATCAACTAGGCTTATATGGCTTTCCCAAGCATTTTGGCCTGTTACTCAGCATCAGTGAGGGTGCTGAGGATGTAGTGGGGTGGAAAGGCTCCTTCAGGAATGGAGCAGAGAGCCTGCTAAATTGGAGCTACTTCCAGTGGTACTGATCTGTAAGCTCAGCCTGTGCTTGAAGGCTGTGGTGCTGTAGGGCACTGGGTGCTTTCTGCCCCACCAAAATGTGCACCAGAGAGCGGGACAGGTTGGGAACCCTGCAGCAGTATGGGCAGTGCTTGACTCAAGGGAAAAACCTGCTGGGAAACTGAAGCATAATCTATCAATTTTACTCATATTGGAGATAATTATACTTGCAGTGTCTGATTGTACAGCCATGTTGTGCTGGTGGATCTGCCCTGCAAGTCAGAGGCAATTAAGGATATTTTGTGTAAGGGGGATTTAGTGTCCCCTGTGCAGATCTGGAGAGCAGCCCTTTAAAAAAGATCCTCAGGACAAATTTCCCCCTTGCTTTTAAGGAAAAAAAATCCAGACAATGAAACTTGATTTTGTTTCCAGCGTCCCTGTCTGACCAACCAAACAGGTAAGACCTACGGAGCCTTCAGTGGCAGGCAAAGGCAAATATGGACACGGGGAGATCTGATTGACTGAAGGCATCTACTATCAGAACTTGTTCGGAAATGATAGCAAGGTAACTCATTTTAAGGAGGGAGCTGAAGAGAGACTGGCTGAAGCTCTACCACAGACAGCAATATGGGGAGGAAGCAGAAAGGTGATACTAGAAGAAAGCCGAAAGACAGGCAGATGTTTAGGCAGAAGAAGGGTAGGAAGAAACAAAGAGGGTTGTGCTAGCAAGGATAAGATACCCTCGCTATCTTGGTGTAAAAGGTCCATCCATATGTCAGTAAAGAGGTTACAATGGGTAGAGCAAAGGCTTAGATGAGAGAAAGAGGGAGAGAAGCCATGCAAAAGCCTCCTCTAGATGAAGCAGGAGATGGTCACGGCACAGGACGTGTGGCATAACAGATGCAAGGTCAGGGACCAGGGTTTTGACATGTTGAAAGGAGAGCAATGCATCTGGGAACTGACTGAATGTATAGAAAGAAGCTGAGATCAGTAGTTGAATGTGACTCAGAAGATACGATGATTTAGTAAATGCTTACATTTAGTAAGTGAACAAGTACAAAATGTCAGACCTGTACAAGCTCCATTCATTGCTTAATGTCCCAACTGTCCCCACTGTGACCTGGCTAAAGGTTAATCATGTGGTCAGAGCATGGGTTTGGTGTCACCTGTTGACTTAAGTGGTTAAGGCTGATCTTCCCAAAGGGTGTTTACATAGTTTGTATAGTACATAATAGACTTTTCCCTTTGTGTTTATTCCATTTAATTTTGCTGTCACATTCTCCCTTCACAGCTCTCTCAAAAACTGTGAGGGGAATTGAAAAACTAGTTACTAATTGTGGAAAACGCTCGCCTTAGAGAGTTCGCAGTGCTCTTAAAGTAAACGTTATTACATTGAAAGCTATGTAAAATCTCAAGAGGTCCAGAGACGTTTTCTCTGAAATTCTGTGCTCCAGTTTCAGGCAAAAAGCCCATTAATGCCTCAAAGGCGGGAGGGAAGGGACCAAGTGTGCTCCAGCCATTTGAAATGACTCTCTGTTGGAGATTAGTGTAGCATCTCTGGTTGTCAAAACCCTGTCTCCTCCATCAAGTGCAACAGACCTACTTGCAGTTACACTGACGCGTGCAGAGCTTCCCTCTGATATACAGCACATGAAAATATATATGAATATAGCAACTGGGTTGCTTTGAAGTCCTGCTGGTTTTACTATTTTTATCATTCCTCTTAGCAGCACAGTCCCAGTAAACTGACAATGTATTGACACATCTACCTTGGGAGATTAGTCCCTACACAGCCAAAAGCAAGTAACAGATCTGGCAACGTCCATGCAACAGTGTTCACCGCTTTCCTCCAGAAGGCCCCAAACTCGGCTGTTTTGTCTGAGAGGTGCTGGCAGGCTGCTGGTTTCACACCAACCTCTTTCCTCAGCACTGTCCCAGTGGCATCAAGCGCTCCAAGAATCAGCCCTGCCTGCCACAACCTGACACCAAACTGCAGCTGCTCTCCTCTCCCAGAGACAGTGCGAGAAGCCTCCTCGTTCCTGCCTGGGAGGTTCACCTTGCCGCTCATGAGAGTTATCTACCAGATTTTCC